ATAACCATAGGCGTGTACAGAATGCAAACGATGTCTGTTTATCTTTTCAGATGCCATTAACCACAACTTCCTTATCTCCAGCTGCAGGAGGGTGGGGTACCCCCGGTGACCACGTGGGGGCCATGTGGACCGGAAACCGGAAGGCGGATGAAAAGGCATAGAAAGGCGCTATACAAGTATAAGACCATTTACCATTGACCAAGGGTTTCATAAATGTCTTCTCAAGGAGCAGAGCTGTAAACATCACATATTTCAGTAACGTGACCCGTGATCTGTACACGTTACGGGTCAAGAGGAGGCCAGAGAAGATTTCTGCAGATCCCTCACACACTGGACACAAACTGTTTGAACTCCTCCCCTCTGAGTGGCGCTACAGGTCACTGTACTCTAGTTCCTTACAGTCAGAAGTGTTGGTGAATGATGTTTAACTAAGCTCCATGGGAATTTTACACAGACTGAGATATGTCCCAGTTTGTGATGCATCATAAATGCTCCTGTTAAAGATGTTTCACTCAGCAGTAAAATACTGAAGAAAACCCTCAAATACTGCTACTGATGCTTAGGGATGAGAAGCAAGGTTACAAGGGGTGATAACAGAATTAATTGTACTGAACAAGACCTGAGGTTTATAACGATTATCGACCACATTGTTTGGACCGATAGTTTGATTTGGCAGATTTTACAGCCTTCTGATAGTCAGAGAGACAATCCCAGAAATGGCTGAGATAAACGTGAAGATGTCGTTACCTGTGACACTTCAGGACTGGTCAGCCTTAAAATCTTCTCTAAGTACTCAGCAGCATCACGCTGCTCATACACTGAAGGGGAGAGGAGCAGAAATCAATGAGTATTTCTTCAGCAAATTAAAACACTAACTCTGGATTTGTAAAGGAGTCGTGACATCTGTGGGTCTTAACTGACTCTATGAAGTGAACGTGAAGTGCACAGGATGCAGATCTGAATCATAAGATACTATTCTAACATATGACATCATGTAACCTTTATGTCAAACTATCAAATCTGGTCTGATCTGCCTCTTCAAAGGCTACATGTTGTTTTCTGTGCTACTGTACCTGAGTTAATTCCCAGCTTGGATATGATTTCACTGGTGTCAGCTGTTCGCTGGTCGCTGCTTTGTAAGTCATCAAACAAGGCTCTAAGGAGATCAGTAAACTCAGGATTCCCACTTGTGTGCCTAAACAAATACATCGAGACCATGAGTGACACAAAGGTGACTTCAGCTCTAATTTAAAGTAAATGTATTATATGGCATGAAGCTGTACTTTGTAACCAACCGTTCCACAGCCTCTCTGAAGTCTTTGGTCCAGAACAGCACCTGCAGCACACTGTTCAAATAACATGTTGCTCCTTTGTTTGGTATTCCATGGTATTTATCTGTTGGGAGGACATTGTTAATAATGAATTTAAACTGCACAACAGTTTTCACACCAATACAATGAATGATAAGCAAACAACCATTTATCTTACCAGAGTTCATTTTGCTTTCTCTCCACTTAAACACTGTTGCCAGCTGCAGGGGGATTTGCATTTTCACAATCACTTATCAGCAATAAACCAACGAGAGTTATTTTGGAAACATACAGTACAACAAAACAAGACAAAATAAAATACGAGCCTACCTTTCAGTCGCCACATTCACCCTTTCCAGACATTCACTAGGTTTTCTGGTAAACGTCTCTGTTTATTCTCGACTCCGGTGAACAGCTGCAGACTCCAACCTTCTGAATACTTTCTCTTTCACTTACGAGCTACTTGGATGATGCATTCAGGGTGTGTCAGAATTATTGTAATAAGGAAACACAAACTAGGAACATGAATTGTTTTTAACTGAATCAGATAGTCACCTACTGTGCCAAAAGCTTTTTAATGTAAAATGAATCACAGTTTGCCTAAAGACACCTCTCTGTTGTTATTCAGCAACTGTGAGGAGTTTTTCATGAGAACATTTTGATGCAGAACTTGAACGCAGCAGGTGTTGACTACTTTTACAGAGTGAGAAAGAGCACATCTATCACTATGAAAGCATTTCCAAACTTTTCTTTGGAAAATCCTAGAGATATTGACACATATTTTAACAGATATTAATATTTGATCATATTTATCTAGAAACCCCCATATGGAGAGACTTGTTGCCCATTCCTGAGCCAACACTGAATTCTTCATCTGTATGGTTTAAAATTAAACTTAGCAGACAGCTGTGGGAACTGATTTTGGGATGATTTCTGTTCGCAGGGACCCTTTTTAATGGTCAGAGAACCTGCTGCAGGATATACAGCACAATATTTGTAAATAAACATTGAAACTTTTTATTAAATATACCTGATGTTGTGTTGATGTGATACAACTTTAGGCTTTATCATATGTTTCCTAATATATGCACATTAAAGATGGGACCTTAGAGAAATACAGAGAGAACATTTTTATTTTGGTATAGTACAGATTTTTTTTTAACCACCTTTGCAATATTACACAATCACTAGAATAAAATAACCGCACAGCAAAGGTTTAAGATTTGTAGACAGTGGCAGGAGTCTTCCGGAGCTCTTATGAAGTGGCAGTGGCAGCAGGCCGAGGTGGTCTCTGTCAAACAGTCAGTCCTCCAGGAACCTTAATCACCATATGGATGTTGGACATGTGCTGTACCCCATAGCTAGACAGCAGCGAGGAGTCTTCATCCAGCTCTTTGTCTGCAAAGATCAGCCGCAGAGCGTCCTCTCCTATGCACACACAGGAAAACAGAATCACTCAAAACACAAAGCAATGTCATTTAAAATGCAAGTTGACTTTTAAGCTCTTGACCTTGCAATTATCAGCTTTCTCCTTGGCTTATTGTACAGTACAAGGATATAAAATACAGCTCTTGGCCTTGCAATTATCAGCTTTCTCCTTGGCTTATTGTACAGTACAAGGATATAAAATACAGCTCTTGGCCTTGCAATTATCAGCTTTCTCCTTGGCTTATTGTACAGTACAAGGATATAAAATACAGTAAATAACCTCAAACTTCTAACTAAATGTATCAAAATTTTAATCAAAACGTCTTTTGACCTGCAGATTGCCAGTGATAGAAAGTTAAAGTACACTTTAAGGACAACTTTCCACTAGATGGACCATTCTACTGCCAGATATGTATAGAGATGTTATTGTGAAAACATTCATTTAATAAGGCATGATAAGGTTTTAGATCAATGTCCAACAGTATAGGCTATAAAATAGCCTCAGACTACAATATAACAACAAGCTGCACAAGGATCAGTGATCTAATAATAAAAAAAATAGCTGTGTAATGAAGGGAGCCGTTCAGTTTCATTTTAGATACTGTCAGTATTTAAGTGGAGAGCGTTTCAGATCATTTTCTTTAAGTAAACTACACTTTCTAGGATTAGGTTACAGTACACTGCGTTATAATTGTATTAATAGGATTCTGTTTATCCTTATGAATCTGATTAATATTGCAAAGCCACCCTAGCTTCATGGAACAATCGTCTTGGGATGTTCTTCTGATAGACTAACATAAAAACCTACATGTCATCTACATGTCAACACATAACAACATAATGTCAGCTGAGAGCTCCTTGTTACCTGCGGTCTCAGGAAGCTTCTGTCTAATCTTTTCCTTCAGCTGCTTCACCGTCATACTCTTCATCTGTTCCTCAGTGTTCGACAGGTCGATGAACGTCTTCTCACCCCTCAGTCCGTGAAGCAGGACCTGGTAGATTTTACCCATTTTGTGTTGTTTGTGTCCGACTTGCTTCGCTGCCTTCGTTATATTTAATGACGCCCAGGGTGTTGTTTTGGCTTTGTCAGAGGAAAGTGTCTGAGGATGCTTTCACTTTCGTTGTAGTGTTAGTTTTTTTTATCCTGCGTGTACACAGTCAGTGTCAAACTGTTTAAAATGTAAAGTGAACGTTTTTCTCCAGTATCAGTGGCTGAGATGTTTTTTTGTTGGGTAGGCCCTGAACTCTGATCATAACAAACCCTTCCTGAAAACCTTTAGGTAACGAGGAGACACTTAGAAACTGAAATTCAGTGGTGGAAAGCAAGTTTATTTTCAATTGTCGATTCTTGAGAAATATTTTACCCCGCTAACTTTCCTTTTCACAATCCTATTAATTAAATCAAAACACAGTAGGCTACCTATAAACTTTATGGTGGAAATTCACCAGCTACCTATAAGTTCAGTCTATTTCCGTCATGCACCAAAACACACACGGATATATTAATCCAAACCTGTATCCACGTGACTTCTTGTAACTCACTGTAAAAGTGAAAGAGGGAGTAGGAGACCAATAATAGATCGGGGTTTACAGATCAGTTCGAGTACAGACAGACAGACAGAGGTTGGTCGACAGGACAGAGGAGCTGGTCTGAAACAAAATGACCACACAGGGTCAGGAAGAAAAAGTATACGACCCCAGAGACACAACATTGAAGTTTGTCAACAGACCGGATGCTCTCGATCCACTACGTGAGTACTACTAATGTCATTCCCCATTTCCCATGTATAATGTGTGTAATGGCTTTATTAAACGCGCATTGGTTATTGCATTTAAGTCCGTTTTAGGAATAGCTCTATGAATGAAATGTGATTCGTTGATAGCTGTCAACAGCTGTCCACAGGTGTCATGACGTCAGTGTGCGCTTGTTGTTTTGCTCCTCAGCCCCGGAGGATGGAGACAACACACTCCGAGCAGAGATGTCCTGTGGCCATGCTGTCACCCCTGAGTCTCTCACTGGCTGGTGTCGCAGCCTGTTGGACCAGGTAGCTGCTTCTCTTTACCTCACAATGTTAGAAGAATTAGGCTCCAAACTGTCTCCTGCAAATAACTGTATTTCTGCCAGGGTACCTTCCCTACAGTGGAGCCATTTCTCTGGTCTAAAAGACATTTTAAACAACTTACATATTCTATATTTGGATCCATATAGTCAAAACACACCAATGATAAACTAATTTAAACATCATTTGCATGTAAGATTTTGTTCACAATTGGCTTCTGCTGCCCCCAAGTGGTAAAAAAAAAGTCTGGATGCAAGAGACGCTCAACCCCAGTTCACCTTTGCCACATTTTTAGATTATTTGTCCTTTTCATTTCAGGGCCAGTACAAATTTAAGTGCCCGGCCTTGGAGGATGGTACCTTGCAGCAGTGTGGAGCAGTGTGGTCTTACCAAGAGGTGCGCAGGCTGGCGGTGCTCACAACTGAAGAGATGAACTACTTTGAAAAGAAAATGGCCATAATGGCTGCAGCAGAATACTGTGAATTCAAAACGGTGAGTGTCCCGGTGCTGTCTAAATTCATTACAAAGTGTTTCTACAACAATCATTTAATCAGGGTGCAGGCAGACAATGCAGAAACAGAGGCCATCTCACAAAAAACTGAGTGCAGTCTTTAAGCTGAGAAGGCTGATGAGCAAATATGAAACAGCTGAGTATAAGTGGAGTAAAACAGAGGCAGGTAAGAGTGAATGATACAGTAAATGGTGACTTCACAATAATGTCCGGTACAGGAAGTTGGCAGCACTCATGACAGTGTAGCTGAAGCCAGCAGCCATTAGCTTAGCTTAGCACAAAAACTGCAAAGAGGGGAAACAGCTAGCCTTTTCAGCAACATTAAAGCTAACTAATTCTATACTTATTTGTTTAATGTATACAAAGCTAGAGTAAGTATGATGACACTTCTCTTTTTTAGAGTGGCAGACTGCTTCTTAGCTAAGAGAGGAGGGAAGGGAGGTGTTTATAGATGTCTGACAGGAAGAGAAGTGGAAGAGGTGTATGTAGTCCTTAAGCTATTAACTCCAAAAATGAGAGTGGTCTGAATTATGCCATCTCACTCCCAGAAAGAAAGCCAATAAGTGTACTCCCCAAAATGGTGAACTATTCCTTTAATGTTTCTCACGTTCTTTCCATCAGTGTCCTGGGTGTAAATCCTATCTGGAGAGAGAAGACCTGACAGACCTCAGCGTGCAGTGCACCATCTGCACAGCAGACAAGAAGAAAGCGTACCTGTTCTGCTGGCAGTGTCTGAAGCCGTGGAAAGGTAAAATTCCATGCTCTGACCACTGCGACAATGACGGCTGCATCAACCACGACCTTGAGCTTCTCAAGAACTGCAAGGACACCACCTTCCCTGAGGTGCAGGGGGTAGACAAGTGTCCCTCCATCCGGGCTTGTCCCACATGTGGGTACAAGGTGGAGCACGACAAGACAGGCTGCAAGAACATCATCTGTCCTCGCTGTCAAGTGGAGTTCTGCTTTGTGTGTCTGAAGCTCACTCCGGAGTGTCTGAAGACAAGCTCCTACTTCATCCCCTGCAGCGACGGAGTGGCCCCCAGACAAACCTCCATACCTGTGTGGCACAGAGGCTAAAAGAAAATATTCTAACACACATTCACAGCTCATGATGTACACTAACAGCTTTCTTCTGTCCTACATTTACTGTTAGACTTCACTCTGCAGCTAAAGCCAACAGTGTTGGTTTATAGGTTGACTTCTCTCCTCACTGACTTTAAAATGGCTGCCGCATTTTAAAAGTTCTGCTGAAAGTTGCTTCCTTAAAATTGATCTCTGCTCATTGACAGCTAATCATAAATAACGCATCACCTATTAAAGTTTCTTTTTACAGAGTGATGTCTGTCCCAAACGTGTCCATGAATGTGAGTAAATTACATGAATATAACATTTATCCATGAAACAGAAAAATACAAAACCTGGCATAGTCCGTTATGCAAAGACCCAGAAACATCTGTATAAGATGGGCCTCAACATTCTCAAGATAACAGAACAATGACGATTCTTCATTTAATTTTCTCTGACCCCAGACTATCCACATCTGTCAGATC